GATTGGCACCCACTGGTAATCTCAGGACTGGGAAAGTGGAGGCTGGTGGAACAAAAATTTCAAGGTCACCCTCGGTTATGTAGGGAAAGTTGGAGGTGAGTTCAAGCTATAAGAACAACACCCAATAAAGCTGGGCATGGTGCTAAGTACTTATAATCCCAGAATTTAGGAGGCAGAGGCAGGAGGGTGGCCACAGATCCCAGGCCAGTTCAGGTTACAGCATAGGGATTCCTAGTGAGACTCTATCTCAACTTAAAAAAAAGAAAAGAAAAGAAAGAAAAAAAAAAGAAAAGCACTTGTCCAATGTACACAAGGCCTTGAACTTGACCCCCAGCACTGGAAAAATAAAGCATAACTGGTTTCCATTTTTTGCTAACTGGATTCTCACCCACCCTAGAGCAGATGTTAACTGAATGAGACAGTGCCCTGCAGAGTTACAACCTCTCTCTTCTCTGGCATGAAGCAGTTTTTAAAAAAAAGTAATAGTTTTCTTAATTTTTGAGAATTTAACCCATCACCTCCCCTCCCCCCAGCTCCTCCTAGGCCTCTCCTCATTCACTCTGTGTGCTCCTTCTGCTTTTTGGAAGGCACTATCTCGAAGCAGATCTCTTAGTCCTCCGGCACTTAAGATCTTCCCACCCCCACCTCTTGGAACCTTGGGCGAAGGGGGTGTGTTACAGATGCGTCAGCTGGGACTGGGCACTCCAAGGTCACTTCTCTGCATTTTGACCAGTTGTGGCCTTCTGGAATGGTGTCCATCTGCTGCATAAAAAGCTTCTTTGATGAGTGAGAGCTAGGCCAGGAGAGTGAGTGTTTAGAAGGCAGTCAGGAAGCAGGCAGCGGTAGACTCTCCAGCCAGCATCTGAAATGCATCGGGTAGAGCTGGCACACGGCGAGTGTGAGCCTGCTGTGTGGACTGGCTGTGCTGTTGCCGTTATGTTTATTAGATCTCCTTAGTAGGAGACTAGGAGCCTGAGCGTCGGAGAAGAGGAAGGAATGGTAGGTGGGTGACTTTATTTTTTTGCTGTTGTCATTTTTACAGGCAGAGCTTCAGTCTGGGTGCTTGCCTCAGACACGTCTTCCACAAGTGGTCCTCTGCTTAATGGAAAACTGTCCTGCCCGTCTACAAGTTCAAGTCTGCCTCACAATATGAAAGGCCAAAACTCCAAAGGAGAACCCAACAGTTCCTCAATGACCAAAACATCCACATCTAAGTCCCAAGATCAGATGACATCATCTACTCTTCCAGCAACACCCCAGAACAGAAGCACAACAGGGCCCACTGAGCAGATGACCTCAACTGTACACACACCTGTCATGACAATCACTAATGACATGTCACTGTCAGATTCCATGGTGACCTCTACAGTAAAGGAATCGATAGGAACACCCAAAACCACAGTTTTATTCAGCTTGGCCACTTCAGCTGAGACCCCACAACTGAGTCAAACTCCACTCTCATCAACACTGGACACTGTCAGTGACACAAACAAACCTTTATCTGTGACAACTATGACAGTTACAATCACCTCTTCACCAACCACAGCCACCACCCCAAGGACCACTGTTCTAGGCACAGCAACAACTGAGACTCAGGAAAAGGACACTGCAACTGTACCCCCATCCCCAGCAACAACTCCCCCAACCAGCAAGCTACCAGACACACACCACAGCACATTCACACAGGCACCTTCCCAGCCAGCACAGACGGCTTCTGATGTTAGCATGACACCAGAGACAACCGCATCACCACCAAAGTCCACCAACACTGGAATGGAATCATCAGTGTCCCCAAGCCCCGGGGACACAGATAGGACCATGACCACACCTTCCATGGCATTAAGCACACAGGAGGAAGCTATCCCATCATCTGGAACTGGGACACCCACTGATCCTGAGAAGTCAGCTTTAACCTCACCCTCATCAACACTGGACACTGTCAGTGACACAAACAAACCTTTATCTGTGACAACTATGACAGTTACAATCACCTCTTCACCAACCACAGCCACCACCCCAAGGACCACTGTTCTAGGCACAGCAACAACTGAGACTCAGGAAAAGGACACTGCAACTGTACCCCCATCCCTAGCAACAACCCCCACAACCAGCAAGCCACCAGACACACACCACAGCACATTCACACAGGCACCTTCCCAGCCAGCACAGATGGCTTCTGATGTTAGCATGACTCCAGAGACAACCGCATCACCACCAAAGTCCACCAACACTGGAATAGAATCATCAGTGTCCCCAAGCCCCGGGGACACCGATAGGACCCTGATGACACCTTCAATGGCATTAAGCACCCCAGAGGATGCTATCCCATCATCTGGAACAGGGACACCCACTGTTCCTGAGAAGTCAGCTTTAACTCCACCCTCATCAACACTGGACACTGTCAGTGACACAAACAAACCTTTACCTATGACAACTATGACAGTTACAATCACCTCTTCACCAACCACAGCCACCACCCCGAGGACCACTGTTTTAGGCACAGCAACAGCTGAGACTCAGGAAAAGAACACTGCAACTGTACCCCCATCCCTAGCAACAACCCCCACAACCACAGCTATTGTCCTTAGGTCCTCAGAGACAACCAAATCCTCCACTATGATTGGGACCAATCCAGCACCCCCGAACTCTAGCCAGAGTAGTGGTCTGGATGGTGGTGCCTGTGCTTTGGATGAGTATCCAGACAACACCAGAGGTTGTATGTGCAATAATAGCTACTATTCCCACTTGGGTAAGTCTGAATAATCATTCCAGGAAGTCTACTGCTGCTGCTGCTGTTGCTGCTGCTGCTGTTGCTTCCTCTTATTCTTCCTCTTCCTCCTCGTCTTCTTCCTTCTCTTCCTCCTCGTCTTCTTCCTCTTCTGCTTCTTCTTCACTTTCTCCTTTATTTTAATTTTATGTGCATGGATGTAAACATGTAAATAACATGAATCATGCATGTGAACAAACCAGATAAACAGTGGCAAGGGCTAGTGAGGTCATGGAACTCTGAGAAGGCCCAGAGGAACCCTGACCAAAGGAGATGGTGAGACATGAGTATGGGATGAGTGGATCCAGAGGTGGCTGAGCAGATGAGAGGGTCCATCCTGGCCCAGCCCCAGCCCAGCCCCAGCCCCAGCCCCAGAACCCAGGACTTGAACTGCTGTCCAGATAATGATGGGGATTACAGGCTTGTATGGCATGCCCAGCTTTGTACACACACACACACACACACACACACACACACACACACACACACACACACACACACACACACACCAGGGTCTAGCTTCCAGCTTGGAATGAGAGAAAAATTGGAGAATAAACAAATTAACCCCTCAAAACCCCAATCTTGCCAGACAAATTAGAGACACCAGCTGCCTTCACCAAAGTAAATCTGTTTCACTGATGCCCAGGCCAGGCTTCCTTGGTTCCCTGGGGACTTAAAGTTGAAGAGTATGGCAGGAACGAGGAGCCACCTCCTTCTTTTCTTACCTTTCCGGCTCTGCCTCTGGACTTCTTCTAGTCCTCTGTCCACTGGCCCAACTCTCGGTCCACCTGGCTCCAAGGCAGCAACCTCACCTTCCAAACTTTGTTGTTGAGTCAAGGTCTCTTAGTCCAGAACGCTCGGGTCACTGGAGATGCGCTTCAGCTCCTGATGCTCCTGCTTCTGCCTCCTGAATTCTGGGATTATAGGCATCTGCCATCATGCCCTATCTATGTGGCATGGGGACCAAATTATGGCAGGCGGGCTCTCTGCCAATGAAGCTACATTCTCAGCCCCCACACTAGCTCTGAGACCCAGGTAGTAATACCTGGAGAAGAGACTCTAAGGCCTTGTGAGGGCCAGGAATCAGGATCCCACAACACAAGGGATGGCCCTTGGGATCCACTTATGCGAGAATCTGTGTTTAAATAGATTTAATTTTTTTTTTTTTTTTTTGGTGTTTTGAGACAGGGTTTTTCTGTGTAGTCCTGGCTGTCCTGGAACTCACTCTGTAGACCAGGCTGGCCTCAAACTCACAGAAATCCTCCTGCCTCTGTCTCCGGAGTGCTGGGATAAAAGACATGCACTACCATACCCAGATATGTTTACAATTTTAACAACTATTGTGTGTGCATGGTGTGTGTGTGTGTGTGTGTGTGTGTGTGTGTGTGTGTGTGTGTATCAAGGGGCACACATACCATGGTATACATGTGGAGCTCAGAGGACAACTTTGTGAAGTCAGTTCTTTCCTTCCGCCTTTATGGAGGATCTGGGAATTGAACTCAGGTCTCCGCGGCAATCCTTTGCCTACTGAGCCATTTTGCTGGCTGTGTTTAAGGGAGTCTTTATGAGTTGGACCAATATCGCCTCTCATCTTCAACCGCCTGAGAAATAGTATTCCTTCTCATGGCATCATCCCAGGATCCTCAGGAGACCCCGCCCCTGACTCTTGTTCCCCTGCAGAACTATCCAGGGATATAGGGATCCTGCGCTGCAGACCACAGGACATTGAGGTGGTTCTGAGGAGCTGCTTCCTGAAGACTCATCACTGGGTCCTGAAGGACGATGCCTTCTCCAGGTGTTTCAGTATCAATACCATAGAACAGGGTCGCCGGGTCCAGGTCTTCCAGTTGGAGAAGAAGGAAGGGACTTGTGGACTCCACATCTCTGTAAGCTGACCCACAAGGGAAAGGGGAAAGCTGTGGGGGCGGGACTGGGAAGCTATGGGGCGGGGCTAAGAAGCTTGGGGGCGGAACTGGGACAGGAGAGGTTGGGTAACTCTTGACTTGGGTGGACTCAAATCACCAGTCTTGTTGAAGAAAATGGCCAAGCTGTCCCCAGAATGGGAATGCCTTTACACGTGCTGTGTTTGCTGGATTAGGGTATAGGTTCCCAAACTGTCAGCCATGAAACACTTTAAAATAAAAACCACAAACAGTTATTTATTGATTTCTGGCCAAATGCCATGTCTATCAATTCATTTTTAATGGTTCTAATATTGAGAGGTTCTCATTAAGATGAGTAATCCATGGCTCATAGAAGTTAAGGGATTTTCTCAAATTGCAGTATGAACTTGAGGTAATCCTTCTGCCTCAGCCTTGTGAATCCTGGGATTGCATGCTTGCACCAGCATACAGAGACTAGTTTTATAAGCAAAACATAACTCACATAAATAATAGAATGCCCTCAAATAACAACAGTGTGCCTAAAGCCCCAGATCTCTTGGTCAGAACTCATCTCTTTCTTCTCTCTCTCTCTCTCTCTCTTTCTTTCTTTCCAGTGCTAGGGAGACTTAATGTGTGCTAGGCAAACACTCTAAAATTGAGATACATTCCCAGCCCTAGAAGCTGGAATTCCTTTTCAAAATTTGTTTATTTATTTAGAGACAGTCTCACTATGCAGCCTTGGCTGGCACAGAACTCACCATGTAGACCAGGCTGGCTGAAACTCACAGAGATCCACCTACCTCTGCCTCCCAGTGCCACCACACCCTGTCCAGACTTAGAACCTTTTTTTTTTTTTTTTTTTTGGGCCCTGGGTATCCTGGAACTCTCTATGTAGAACAGGTTGGCCTCTGCCTCCCCAGTAATGGGGTTTAAGACATACATCATTACACCCAACTCAGACTTAGAATTCTTCCTTTCTTCCTTTTGGTTTTTCAAGACAGTGTTTCATCGTGTAGCCTTGGCTGTCCTAGAACTAGCTCTGTAGACCAGGTTGACCTCGAACTCACAGAGATCCGCCTGTCTCTGCCTCCAGAGTGCTGGAATTAAAGGTGTGTGCCACCACCAGCTGGCCAGACTTAGAATTCTGTTTTTTTTTTTTTTTTTTTTTTTTCAAAATTTTGTTTTTTTTTACTTTTTTTTTTATTTTTTTTTGGTTTTTCGAGACAGGGTTTCTCTGTGTAGTTTTGCGCCTTTCCTGGAACTCGCTTTGTAGACCAGGCTGGCCTCGAACTCACAGAGATCCGCCTGGCTCTGCCTCCCGAGTGCTGGGATTAAAGGCGTGCGCCACCACCGCCCGGCTGTTTTTTTTTTAATAATTTATTTTATTTTATGTGCATTGGTGTTTTGCCTGCCTGTATGTCTGTGTGAGAGTGTCAGGTCCCCTGGAACTGGAGTTACAGACAGTGTGAGCTGTGTGGATGCTGGGAATTGAACCTGGACCCTCTGGAAGAGCAGTCAGTGCTCTTAACCGTTGAGCCATCTCTCCAGGCCCCAGACGTAGAATTCTTAACAGCTCAGGGATCCTACTTCTTTCCAAGAGATTCCAAAATGCAAATTGACACCTGTAAGCCCAGAATTCAGAAAGCTGAGGCAAGAGGATTGCAAGTCTCAGGACAGCCTGGGCTACAGAGCAAAGGCTCTCCCTGGGCTGGAGAGATGGCTCAGCAATTAAGAGTCCACACTGCAGAGAACCTGAGTTCTTCCAACACCAGCGCCAGCAGCTCACAGTTGTTTAAAATCCAGCTCCCGAGGACATGTTGCCCTCTTCAGGAACCAGCACTGTCAAGCATATACCAGTAGAGTGATACACACGTGTGCATGGTTTTTAAAATAAAATAAGCCTTTAAAATGCTCTCTAAACAACAACCACACTACCACACCAAAAAGAAAAACAGCCCAGATGTGGTGGTGCGTGCAGATAAGCTCAGCACTTGGGAAGCAGAGGCAAAAGAGGGTTCAAGGCCATCCTTGGTTACATAGTTGGAGACTAGTTTGGGCTCCATGGTGCCCTGTTTGAAAATAAAGTAAAATAAAATAACTATTAACACTTAAGAACCATGGAGTAAGAACCTCCATTGGCATCTCTCGGTTCAGTCCCCAGCACTGTATAAACTGGGCACTGTGACACAAACTGTTAACCTTGGCACCAGGGAGGTGAAACCAGGAAGGTCAGGGGTTCAAGACTATCCTCAGCTACATAGTCACAAAGACCAGACTGGTCTACATCTCAAGAAAAGAATCTTAGAACCACAGCATGGGGGTTAAAGTGATGGGCCCTAGAGTCAGTCTGTCAGTCACTTGCTTTGGATATCCTTTAACCTCTCTGAGCCTTATTTTACTCTTTTATAAGTGGGGCCCATAAGGAAGGACTGTGTTCAAGCCACAGTACCAAGCTCAAAGAACTTCAGCTACTGCTTTTATTCAAACAAACACCTTGTTGCCAGAGAGGATGGGAGAAAGTGTTTACCCCAGGGACTTATGGGTTATGTCTGCTCACCTACCTCTCTTTTCTAGACCAACGTCAGCCATGCCCTGCACTCTCTGGACGTGCACTTTGAACAGGCTCTCCCTGGCTCTCCCAACACTGGCTTCAGAGTGCTCCACTTCAGCTGCGCATACCCCCTGGTGGTGAATGTCAGCAAGCCTGTCTCCTACCAGGAGGCCTCCATTCCGTGAGTTAGGTCCACTCAGTCATTCCGTGAGTTAGGTCCATTCCGACAGTTAGGTCCACTGTCTCTGCAGCTAGGCCCTAGGCCACCCCTGAGTTCTCATTGCTACCTCTAATCTAGCCCAAGACTCAACACTCTCGAGAAATCGGCCCTCAAGCTCGCCCATCATATGTAAGCACCTCTTACACGGAGGGAGAAACAAGATACTTCTGGGAAGAGATGCGTTATGGGTTGCTTATGTAAACGGCCATGGAGTCAGAGAGCTGCTGAGGTCGGGGGCCCTACGATTTGGCACTTCAACTGTTGTGTCGTCCATGAGGACGTTAACAGGCTTGCTCCTCCCCTGGCCGTCTTTTCTTTCTTTCTTTTTTTTTTTTTTTTTTCTAAAAGATTTATTTAATATGTATACAGTGTTCTGCCTGCATGTATGCCTGCAGGCCAGAAGAGGGCACCAGTTCTCATTATAGATGGTTGTGAACCACCATGTGGTTGCTGGGAATTGAACTCAGGACCTCTGGAAGAGCAACCAGTGCTCTTAACCGCTGAGCCATCTCTCCAGTCCCTTTTCTTTCTTTTATACTTGTTTATCATACGTGTGGGTCACGTGCACGAGTCTGGTCTCTATTTTCATGTCATCAGGCATGGCAGCAAGCGCCTTTTTACCCACTGAGGCATGACTCATCTTTTTCTTTTCTCTTTCTTAGTACATGTTTGTACAGTGTGTGCTAGTTCATGTACATGTGTGTCCGTGTGTATGTGGGTGTGTGTGTAGGTCAGAGGACAACCTCTGGTATTCCTTAATCATGCTCCACCTTATTTATTTATCTATTTATTTATCTTTCGTTTTTTGAGATAGGGTCTCTCTACATAGCCCTGGCTGTCCTGGAACTCACCATGTAGACCAAGCTGGCCTCGAACTCACAGAGAGCTACCTTCCTCTGCCTCCTGAGTGCCGGGATTAAAGAAGTGTGCTACCACACCGGATTGTTTATTTTTAAATTCAATTTTGGATTATTTTTATTTTATGCGTATGAGTCTTTTTCCTGCATGCATGTCTGTGCACCAAGTGTGTGTCTGGTGCCCACGGAGGACAGAAGAAGGCGATGGATTCTCTGCAACTGGAGTTGCAAACCATCGTGAGATACCCTGTGGGTGCTGGGAATCGATCTTGGGTCCTCTGGGAGAGCATCCAGTGCTCTTAACCTCACAACCATCTCTCCAGCCCCTATTTATTTATTTAATTGGAACATTTTATAGGTTGTTTTTTTTTAAAAAAAGATTTATTTATTTATTTATTATGTATACAGTGTTCTGCCTGCAGGCCAGAAGAGGGTGCCAGATCTCATTACAGATGGTTGTGAGCCACCATGTGATGCTGGGAATTGAACTCATGACCTCTGGAAGAACAGCCAATGCTCTTAACTGCTGAGCCATCTCTCCAGTCCGATTTTATAGGTTTATATCGACTATAAAGTAAGACTTTGCATGGAAATAGATTCTCGGGGCAATAGTCTATTTGACCCTATTCTCACCTGTTTCCCAAGCCACCAGACTTGAGTGAGTCTGAAGTTATAGAAGGCTCTGTAACAGGCCTGTCTTACTGCTCACATTCCTCTGTGCACACCTTGCTCCTTCTGAGAGCAACTCTCCTGGGCCTCTGTCCCAGGGTGCAGAGAGCAAACGCTTTTCCTGATTGTGGCGGACACTCTTAAGTGTTCTCCAAGACCCAAACTCTCCTCTCTGCCAGTAGTTAAAAGACTTTATTCTGAGAAAGAACATGGGTGACCCCCAAATACTACTTCACCATAAAGTCCCATCCTACCACAGATGGTGACCACGTGGAAGCTGTATCACAGAGTCCCCTCCTTTATTCTTTGAGGCAGAGTCTCCCATTGGCCTCAAACTCACCAAATAGGACTAGCCTGGTCAACCAACAAGCCCTAGGGGTCTGCCTGTCTCTCCAGTAGTAAGATCACAAGCATGTCATTGTGCCTGGGCTTTTTAACATGGTTATGGGGCTGGATCTCAAGTCTTCATGCTGTATATAGTAAAGTACCTTACCCACCCCCTTCCCTCTGAGGTTTCCTGGTGAGGGACTCACTCTTGTTCCTCTCTGGCTATAGCACCATCCACATCCCCAGTACGGGAGAGACCGTCATCACCCTGAGCATCTTCACAGACTCTCATCTCTCTGCTCCACTCAAGAACAGTACAGCTCCTGTGGGCATGCCCCTCTATGTGGTCCTCAAGTCCACCAACAGTGATCCTAACCGATTTGCCCTGGTGGCTAATGAGGTTTTTGCCAATACTGATCCCTCCAACACAGTGACTAAAGCCACATATCATTTTGTGAAGGGAAGGTAAGGACCAATCAGGCCCCAGCTCTTGGACTGTGACTCTTACAGGTACTTTTGTTCCCATCAGCATAGACTCTCATTTTTTTCTGTATCCCTGGCAAACAAAATGGGGGAGGAAGGAAGGGATCGGTGAATGTTTGTTGAGTGAATGCATTCAGCCCCATTTTACAGATGAGTAAACTGAGGCTTGGGAAAATTAAAACCTGCTCAAGATCTCACAGCTAATAGATGACATTCATTTCTTCTATTCTTTTCCTCAAACAATTATTGAGGGCTTATGATGAAATAAAAAAAGTAACATTAACATGTCAGAGTGCCTTATGCTATGCTGTGTATTGAAGTACATTACATGTAATAGCTAACAACAGCTAATAATTTAGTTATTTATAAATAATAGTATTTATTTCATGCCAGGTGTAGTTTGAGTCACATCATACTTATCAGTTAATTTAAATCTTATAGCACACTATGACATAGTTATATTTTGATTCCCATCTTACACAAGGAGAAACTGAGGCTCCGTTAAGTGCTTGGGAGGTGTCAAGTGTTGAGCACACTAGGAGAAGAGCAGGTTTTGTTCGTATCGGGTATGGTGGCCTCTGCCCCAAATCCAAGTGCTTGGGAGGCTGAGGCAGGGGAATTACCTAGAGTATCAGGCTAGCCAAGTAAGACAGCAAGACCCTATTTAAAGAAAATAATTATAAACTAAATAAAAAACTTGGTATGGTGGTGCATGGCTGTAACCTAAGCACTCAGAAGGTAGAGGCAGGGGGATTGAGAATTAAGGGCTAGCTAGCTTCAGCTACATAGAGAATTCCAGGTCAGCCTGGGCATACCTAAGATCCTGACTCAAAATGAGAGAGAGAGAGAGAGAGGCTTCTCACTTGTATATCACAGTTCATTAATATTGACAACAGTTTTTGTAGAAGCACAGTGGGTTACTCATCAGTTTACAACTCACAAAACAGTCCCACAAAGGATCCTTTCCTCCACCGCACAGGTGAGAGGTCAGAGGGCTCAGAGTTTGTCCGAGGACTGCTCACGCTCAGTCTGGCCCCAGAACACACTGCTGCGTTTTTCCTTGTGTGTAATTAATTAGCTTTCCCTCTGCTCCAAACCTGAGGATCCACCTAACTTCTCTGAACCTAAGTTTCCTCCTTGTTTAAAAAGAAAGGGCAGGGAAGTTCGGGGCTGGAGAGATGGCTCAGCAGTTAGAAGCACCAGCTGCTCTTGCAGAGGCCCTGGGTTGGGTTCCTAGCACCCACATGAAGTTACCACCATCTGTAACCCCGGTTCCAGGGGATGGAACAACACCCCGTTCTGACCTCTGTAGGCACTGTACTCCCGTGGTGCACAAACACACATACAGTCAGACACCGACAGGCGTAAAATAAAATAATAAACATTTAAAAATGGGGAGCAGTCAAAAGCATGGTCTCCCTCAGAATACGGATGTGGGGATGAAATTAAACAATCGATGTAAAGTTAGCTCTTATAGGAGACCCAACACCCACAATTACAGAGAACAAGTGAAAGTGACAGAAACCAACCTTTGTGGTTGACCCCTTGGGCCCCAAACCTGGGTCCCAAAGATGCATGCCAGGCCTTCTCCCTGCAGCTGTCCAGTCCAGGGCCGGCTGCTCCAGGACTTGAGCAACGGGGCCTCCACACAAGTGACACTGGCCTTCACTCTGTCACGATTCTTGAATAGTGACACACTCTACCTACATGCCCAAGTGACCCTCTGTGACAAGCAAGCGTCCCGCCCATGCCAACCGGTGAGTGGGGCTCCTGAAGCCCAGCCATGCAGCTGGGACTGGACCAAGGGCGGTGTGATTGTGTGCTGGTCTCGTTCTCCAGGGACTGGGCTTGGGGGAAGATTTAAAGGTGGACTTTGAAGCCCTAGATCTTGTAGATGGAAACGGGTGAACTGACGTGGGTTGTGGGGCAGTGGAACACGAGTCTGAGGTGCCGGGGAAAGTCCCCACCTGTCTTGTCACCCACAGTCTTGCAGTGGGAAGAATCCTCGGAGGAGAAATTCACCCTGGGCCTCTCGGGCTAAGACCCGTCTGGAAGATGGTGATAGCAAGTGGATCGTATTTGGACCTCTCCGAATAAGCGGTACATGGACGGATCATTTGTGGGGCTTCCCCGGCTCCTCTGCCAAGACCCTCCCAATCTCTTGTTCTGGGACCCTGAGCTTTCACCGAGTCCCCCTCACCTTGATATCTTCCCACTCTTCCCCTAAGCCCAGTCTCCTCCCTGAGCCCACATTCTCCTCGGCGGGAGGCAAGTCCTTGCAACCACCCCGGGCTGCTTTCACTCACCGTAGTTTCTTTGCCTGTTACTGTGGGAAAAAATACACATGCAGAAGCAACTTCAGGTTTACTGTGGCTCATGCTTCAAGGGTACAGTCCATTGTGTCAGGGATTCATGGAGGCAGGGGCTTGCTGGCTTTGGTCACATGACATCTGCAGCCAGGAAGCAGAGAGCCTGAACACATGCCAGTGCTCAAGCTTACTGTGTGCATCTTCTGCAGCTCAGGATCCTCTGCCCAGAGAACTGGTGGCTTCCCTACAGTTAATTAAGATGGGTCTTCCCACATCAACTAATGTAATCAAGGTACTCCCACACAGGCATACCCAGAGATCCATCTTCCAGGTGACTAGATTCTGCCGGGTTGACACTAACCAATCATGCCACTCATTTAAGTCTGAGCTATCTTCATCTCTCGCATCTCTCTAAAGAAATTTAAGATTTTATGTGTATGGGTGTTTTGTCTGCGGGTATGTCTGTGTACCACATGTGTGCCTGGTGTCGACTTGAGGCCAGAAAAGGGCATTCGATCCCCTGGAATTGGAGTCACAGATAGTTGTGAGCCACTATGTAGGCACTGGGAATCGAACCTGCCTCTTCTGAGAGAGCATTCAGTGCTCTTGACTGCTGAGCCATCGCTCCAGCCCCTCAGGCACTCTGTCTCCTTTCCTGTCACATCAACTCACTCTTCTCAGGCTGTCTTTCCTGCCAGCCTCTACTGGGTCATTCTTCGTGGCCCGGAACACTCTCTCCTCTCTATTCTGTAAGAGTCCTTTCACCCCACGCTTTAGGTGAAGTCCAGAAGTATCATCTCCCCCTTCCGAGTCCCAGCTTCCAAAATCAGCCCGCCTCCTTTGTCCAGTCCCGATGGAATGGTGGGTGAGTGCTGGCCACGTCTGGTTTGAGGGGCACTTTGAACTCAATCTCTGTTTTCATGTGGTTGCAGCACCCAGAGCCTCCAGCAGCAGGAGCGGAGCAGGTCAGTACAAGGGGACTGCTGTAGAGATAAGTTCTCATGTTACACAACTCAGGCTGGTGTAATTCTGGATACTGTTTCTTCTCAGAGCTATGTGACCAAGAAGTCAATTAATCTCTCCGAGTCTCAGCTGCAGTATATGGCAGAGTAACTGTGAGACTGTTGCCTTATCTGGCCTCAAAAATCTGAAACTACCCAGAAATGACTCAGAGTGAGGGTCGAAGGTTTCAAATGCACCGGGCACAGTGGAGCATGCCTGAGCCCAGAAGTTTAGAGCCAGCCTGTGCAAGATAGTGAGATCCTACTCAACACAAAAGCCAGATGTGGTGGCTTACCCTGTAATCCCAGCACTTAGGAGATGCAAGCAGGAGAATTAGGTGTTTAGAGCCATCCTTGGCTACAGAGCAAGTTTGAAGCCAGCCTGGACTATGTGTCTCGAAGAAAAAAAGAAAAAACCATGGTGTCCTCAGTAACACTCCCAACTGAGGTTGTTCAGTGAGTAAAGGTGCTCGCTGCTGAGCGTGATGACATGAGGGGTTTCAGCCCTGGTACCCATATATGGAAGGAGAGAACCCAGGAAAGTTGTTCTCTGACCTCCATGTGGACACCATGACATGCACACACAAAATAAATAATATAAATAAATGTAATCAAAAGAAATTTAAAAGGTCTCATACACTCTGAGAGCTCCTCAAAGCCCATTTTTAAACATTTACTTTATTTCAAATTATGGGTATATGTGTGTGTAGGATATGCACATGAGTGCTGGCACCCGTGGAGGCCAGAGGTGTCAGGACCGCCCCGGAACTGAAGTTAGACTATCGTGAGCTGTCCGACGTGGGTGCCGGGAACCACGCTGAGGTCCTCTGCGGGAGCAGGGTGTGCTCTTAACTGCTGAGCCATCTCTCCAGGCCCCTCAGTCCTGTTTTGTAACCATTGCTTTCTTTCCAGCAGGAGCCTGGATGTCCATCTTGCTCTTGATGGTGATAGGCTGGATGCTGGACTAAAACCTGGTCCAGCCTCCGCACTCCAACACGACTGCTTAGAGTTTAGTTCATTTGCCTGAGCCGAGGGTGGAGCAGTGGAAGATTTGAGGAGAGGCAAGTAGCGTGGCCTCTGTTAGGTACCACAGAAGCTGGGCGTGGATCAGTGTGCAGCCCAACATTGGGAGGAATGTGGCCGCTGCACAGTGTGGTGTGCTCTCATCACGTGGCCTGGCTCTGCAACTCTTACGGGAGGGTGTGTGTTTAGACCGCTCAATATGATGGGGGAAAGTAGAGAGTTTATGGCCAATAAACACAAGGAATTCTACTTTTTTCTGATATCCATCTGTATAATTTGACCACAATGCTTCAGTGCTCCAGGTCAATGGGCTGAAGGATTGGAAAGGGTGGGGAGGTGTGTGTGGGGGGGGAGGGGAGACAGGGGGCAGGGGGTGGGGGACGTTGACAGTCACTTTATCCCCTTGAGGCTTCATCTCCACACATGTAAAATGAAAGTGTTTGACCAGATGACCTCTGCTTCAGCAGGGGAATCATTCCCAGGAAGTCCTTAGTCAGCTGACCCTACTTTCTCTTTCTTTTTTCCTGCAAAATGGCCCAGACTGTTCAGTTCCAGGATGAGAGTTAAATGCATTTATATAACAGTGTGCGAGCCTTTTCCTCCCATGCCTTGGTTATTCTTGGCCTCCTTAGGCCTCCTTTCCCAGGTGAGAGTGATAGAGCAACAGTGTTCGTGAAGTTTTCATGAAGTCGTCCCAAACCGGACTCTCCCTAGGACCACGTCATACCCCGGGGATTCACTGACAAACTTAAAGACAGGGTGGACAACTGGTGCAAGTAGACCGTGGACCAGGAAACAGGACCCATTTTAGACATTAACAGACAGGCAAGCCGGGCAAGGCTGTGTGCACTTGGAATCCCAGCCTCCTGGAGACTGAGGTTGGAGGATTATTCTGAGTTTGACCCCAGCCTGGGTTATATAATCAAGGCCCTGTCTCAAATAAATAAACAGACATATACACAAAACACCCCAAAATGACTGAAAGTGTTGCTCAGTGATAGAGCACTTGCACAGCATAGACAAGGCCTTGAGTTTGATTCCCAAAACAGCAATAAAGTCATACGAATCCCAAACATACATACAAACTCCAAGAAAAAAAAACAGAAAATAGGAGCTAGGTACCATGGTGCCTGTTTGTAATCTCAGCGCTTGAGAGATGGAGTGGGAGTTAGGAAGATCGGGAGTTCAAGGTCATCCTCAGCTACATAATGAGTTTGCTAGCCTGGGCTTCAGGGAACCTTGCCTCAAATAGCAAACTCAAGAAGTATTGAAAGCTGGGCGGCAGTGGTGGCACATACCTTTAATCCCAGCACTCGGTAGGAGAGGCAAGTGGATCTCTATGAGTTCAAGGCCAGCCTGGCCTACAGAGCAAGTTCCAGGACAGCCAGGGCTACACAGAGAAACCCTGTCTTGAAAAAAACAAACACAAAACAAACAATGAAGTTCAATTCAGCATTCTTTTTTCTATTTATTTAGAGAATAAGCACGTGCGTGCACAACGTGGGTAGTTTTGCCACAGGACAGCACCTGGAGGTCAGAGAACAAATAGGTGGAGTCAGTTATCTTCCACCGTTCTGTGGGTCCCAGGGGTCAAATCAGCTGTCAGGCTTGCACAGAGTGCTCTACCCACTGAGCCGTCTGGACATTCCTCTCAGGTCCTTTTGAAACAGGGTTTCATTATGTGGATCAGGCTGGGCTTGAACTCGCTATACTGCTGTCTCAACCTTGAGTGTGAACATCGCAAGCTTGCACCACTGAAGTTGACTCTTCCCGTTCTCTCTGGTTAAATGAGAACGTTGTATTTAACTGAATCTAACATTTAAAACATTTATGAGTATGAGTGTTTTTGTTTGTTTTTAGATGAGGTCTCCTGATGTAGCCCTGGCTGTCCTGGAATTTACTATATAGACAAAGCTGACCTCAAATTCAGAGATCTGCCTGCCTCTGAGTGTTTGGCCTGCGTGTGTGCTTGGTGCCTATTGTTTGATGTTGGGTCCTAGGTGCCGCAGTAGAGACAGAAGCTCACCAAGATGCTAAGCCTTCTTTTTCTGAAGAAGCAGAGAGGACACTGTCGCAGGCTTTCTCTGGGCCACCAACCAGCTCCCAAATAAGGACACAGAGACTTATTATTAGTTATGAATGCTCAGCCTTATCTTATGCTTGTCCCACTAGCTGTTATAACTTGTTTTAACCTGTTTCCCCTCATCTGCATTTTGCCTGGGGCTTTTTGCCTTTCTTTCATTCTGCATGTCCTACTTTCCTGCTTCCTCCATGTCTGGCAGGCTGGCAGCTGCCTGGCTGGCCCCAGACATCTCCCTCTCTTTCTCCCTTGTTCTCTCCTCCCTTTGGTTTTCCTTCTAGATCCCTCCTCCTACTTATTCTCTCTTCCTGCCAGTCCCATCTATCCCTTTACTGCCTAGCTGTTGACCATTCAGCTTTATTAGACCAATCAGGTGCCTTAGGCAGGCAAAGCAACACGTCTTTACATCGCTAAACAAATGCAGCATAAACAAATGCAATGTATTTTTACATAGTTAAAGTAATATTCTGAAACCACACAGGCTTCTTGGAAAACACTGACACTCAGCTAGCTCACTCCTGTTACTTTATTCAAACATATACAAGGTTAACAGGGGCTGAGAAAGGTTCCAACTACCAAAGTCACACCAAAGGTGCAATCTACCAAGCCATAATCAAAAGTAAGCACTCCAGGTCTGCCAGGAGTGTCTCAGGACCAAGGTCAGTGCAGCTGCAAACTCTCATGTAACACCAAGCGCAGACTCTCCAGAGAAACAACTCTTCAAAGTTTACACAGTCTCCAAACAATTTCTCAGCCTCTACTGATTAACCAGATATTGCTGTCCTGGAGGTCCAGCCTCCAAACAATGCAGGTTTTGTTTAAAAAAAAAAAAAAAAAGGCTTTTATAATCTGAGGGGTTAGGAAAGGAACACACAGGTTCTAACTGCAACCTTCTTTAGTCTCATGTTAAATCCTCTCTCTTTGCTCTGAATCTCTTTTGTTCTTTACAGCTATATATATCCAACAGACCCTTTCATGTTGAATATAGGAGTTACATTTTAAGGTCACATCTCATTTGATAAAACAGAGTCATCCTGACAACATGCACGTAATAAATCTTAGCTTCCTAAGTGGTGGGCTGCCGCTTCAAAGAAAGAACCAGTCATTGCTATCTTTATAGAGAGATAGCTTCATAAAACTAAACTTTTGAGGAGTCTAAGAAAAATAAGGAATTTGTGCATATATCCTCTATTTCTAACTGTAGTAACATTTTAAACAAACGTTTTGTGATTAATAGAAATGCCAGGCTTTCTTGGATTCTCTGTCATAAATGCTTTGGTTGGAACTCAGATTTACCTTAAATATTCTAATATAAGTCCACTTAGCATGTTCCAAGGCATAGTGACATTAAAAGCATTTTAAATCTTATATATATATATATATATATATATATATATATATATATATATTTTTTTTTTTTTTTTTTTTTTTTTTTTTTCAGGGCTGGGGACCAAACCCAGGGCCTTGTGCTTGCTAGGCAAGCGCTCTACCACTGAGCTAAATCCCCAACCCCAAAATATATTTTTTTGTCCTGCGTGTAACTTTTAATTATCTAAAAGTATCTGCAGCCCTCATTAGGGACTACAGAGTCAAGTTATCTTCTGTGGCCTTGACTAGTCAGAATCGACGCTCAAAGTCGAGGTGAAGAACGGTGCAAGGACTAAATCATTTGCCCCCTAGCAACAATCGGGCTTTACGACGTAGCCAGGTAGCTCAGTATGTCTTTGTGAGCTGGACTGCTTTTTCTGGGAAATGTTCACCTTAAAAGCCATTAGCAAGGCACCTGGCCTAATCCGAAGTTACTTTGAAGCTTTAAATCAGCTAATGGTATACAGCTGTCTTAGCGCTGGGGCGGTACAGCCATTTTCCTATGCCAGCCTGAGCTATGATATAAAACAGGCCATAAGTGTCTCACGGTTCTCGTGGAACAACAGGCCTGGTCATGAAACATATCCTAGTACTATTTTTATTCATCAAAATTATACAGCTTAAGGAGAAATCATCTTCTTGACCATCCACAGATATAAATGTGCCCAGTAGATGGACTATATTCATGAGATGAACACATTATAATATAGGCAGTGGGAGACTCTCCACACCGTATACATAGTAGCAGCAAACATACAGGAACACAACAGAAGCAAAATAAATTCTGGAGTCTGTATTCTTGTAAACCTTTCTTGAGCAAGATGTAGGTGGACACTTTTCTCTGTCCCATTCAGAGGCTTAATATTAATTACAAACTGTTTGGTCTATGGCTCAGGCTTCTTGGTAGCTAGCTCTTACATGTTAAATTAACCCATTTCTATTAATCTATATATTTCCATGTGGCCATGGAGTTACCAGTCTGCTGGCATGTTGCTCCTTTGGCAGTGGCTAGCATCTGCTTCAACTCCACCCTCTTCTCTCTGTATCTCTCTTGAATTTCCCACTTCGCACTGTTCTGCCTTACCATAGGCCATAGCAGCTGTGGAATGGTCTTTCTACACTGTGAATGAGTTGCTACTGTTGGTTAATAAATAAAGCTGTTTGGCCAGTGGTGAGACAGAATGAGGTTAGGTCGTACATTCAAACTGAAGATGAAGAAGGGTGGAGTCAGGGCAGACACCAGCCCACCACCCAAGGAGCAACATACCAGCAGACCAGTAACCTCACAGCCACTCAGCAACACATAGATTAATAGAAGTGGGTTAATTTAAGATGAAAGAGCTAGCTATCAAGAAGCCTGAGCCATAGACCAAACAGTTTGTAATTAATATTAAGCCTCTGAGTGATTATTGTATCAAAACAGCTGCTGCCCAGCTGGGACTGGGCAAGACCAAGAAACTTCAGTCTACAATTGGCGCCCACGGTGGGGCATTGATC